TTTTCCCGTTCCTTGTCGATGTGTATGCTTATTATGCTTTATATAAATAGGCTTACAATGATTTTCAAGATATTTTAGTGCGAATTATTGCAAAATTTAAGCACAAACAAAATCATATAATTATAAACGTCACCGTTATAGTCTAGCGCGCGTGTTTTATACTGACAGCTTAAAATTCCAGGATAAATTGTTGGTTTTCAAACTTTAAAAGTTAGCCACGACATATATTTCTGTTGCGATGGTTTGTATTGTGCGGGTAGCAAATCTTCGAGTTAAGCCCCTCGAGTTAAGCCCTTCGAGTTAAGCCCCGACCACGCCCTTTCGAGTTAAGCCCCGACCACGCCCATACCACACCCATTTCCGTTGAGGGCTTAACTCGAAGTACATAACTGGAGTTAGGTACTTCGAGTTAAGCCCTCTAGAAAATAGGGGCTTAACTCGAGCAAAGTCAAACATTTTTTCTTCGAGTTAAGCCCCAACGTTTGAAAGATGTAAAGGAGTTACGGTTAATCTGATCCCAAACAAATTAAGTTGTCATTTGGATCGCGTTTCGTTCAATCACGGTTCAATACGTTTTATTTCAGCCGACGTATTATATATATTAGCATTATTAGGGACTTTAAGATTGACGTTTACGGCAAACCGCTAACCGCAAGTCAACTGTTAGCTGTTCGAAGTTAGAGCAAGTGAGCAACTTGTGCATAAAAATTGGACTATGATTTAGCTACTTTTTAATAGCTAATAAAGGAATAAAGATCGACCTTTTCTGCCGTAAAGGTCAATCTTAAAATTGATTAATTATCAAATTGTATACCGGTGTCCCGAAAAACACCGGACTCTGTTTGATTTCATGTAACGTAAAAGCTATAAAAGCTATCGCAGATTCACAATGAAATAAAGATCATTGCATTCATAATGGACTAACTTAGGCCCGGTTTAGACGGCGAACTTCTCATGCGCCGAATCTAATGCAAGAATTAAGTGCGACGCTGGAGCGGCGTCTAAATCAATTAAGTTCGACAGGTTTTGATTAAGTTCGACATGACTCGAAGATGCGACAAGACAAGTCGTATATGCGACACAGGTTCGACATTGATTTAGACGCCGTGCTTTTCATGCGCCGAACCTAATGCATAATTATTTTTTAACATCATAATATGATTATCATATATTTGCATTGTAAATATGTCCAATATAGTGTCCTCGCAATTTGGTACGATACAATTAAGTTCGACGTCTAAATCAGCTTCCGATATTATTATTATTATTATTATTATTATTATAAATTTCCAAACTAGCAGTAACAACTGAATTACTTTGGAATTACAGGGTATAAGAACATAGGTATTTAATCTATTCTATATTTACAGGTAAAAATAGGTAAGTTAGATAAAAATAACGATAATAATCTAAAGTTTACTTATTATTATAAGCACGAGACGCAGCAGGAATGAAACTGTTCGAAAAACGTTCAGTTCTACACCTAGGTACTAATAAGTTGGGATAAGACCTCAGATTATAAGTTTGAAGACTTTTAGGCGGTACTAAGGCATTCAGTTTATGAGTGGGTTCCAACATCTTCGAAAAAAGTCGCTTGCAATGGACAGTTCTACGTTCGTAAAGAGTCATCAAGTTAGCTTTAAGCAAACATTCAGCATAGATAGTTCCAGGGAAAATAATTTTTAATGCCCTTTTTTGTATTTTTTCAACTTGGTCACTCAGGTAATGAGGAAGGCCATAATGCCACACCTGACAAGCATATTCGACAATTGGTCGAATATGTGTACAATAGGTTGAGATCAGAATATGAGAAGGTAAAGCATTTCTTTTAAGAAGGCGCAGACCGTACAAACGCTTCGCGGCCTTCTTGCAAATGTAGTCAATATGGCAGTTCCATTTGAGGTCGTCCGAAAGGACAACGCCCAATAGTTTGGCCTCGGAAACGACGTCGACCTCTTGACCGCGAATGGTAATAGGGGCAAACGATGGAGTAAGCTTAGAAAAGCAGACACGCAATTCTTTGGTCTTTGATACGTTTAACTTCATATTATTGTCTGATGACCATTCAGAGCAGCTGATGATGTTAGCGGGTAACTGGGAAGGGGAATTGTTTGATATTATTTCCCAAAGGCTAGTATCATCGACAAATTTAACAGTTTCATCTACTACAGCCAAGTCATTTATCATGATCAAAAATAATAGCGGGCCAAGCTTCGTTCCTTGTGGGACGCCGGCGTTTAAAAACTTCCACTCAGAAAAGAACTGACCAACACGGGTTCTTTGTTGTCTGCCTGTTAGGAAGTTTGCGATCCAGTTGAGTAACACGGGATGAATTTCCATGTCTTTCAATTTTTCCAACAGAATGTTATGATCTAATCTATCAAACGCCTTGGCAAAATCAAGTAAACAAATCCGTATAGTGTTGCCTTGTTTGTCAGCTGCTTCAAACCATTTATGTAGCATGTAGATTAATGCCATACTAGTGCTTGAACCCTTCAGCGAACCAAATTGCAAGGAATCAATTTTTTTGAGACGGAGTCAAGTAGCCATTTGTAGGGAAAGGATTCAAGAATCTTGCTGATAATTGGTGTGAGGGAGATTGGTCTGAAGTCAGAATCAACATCTTTAGGAGGCGAAGATTTTTGAACTGGTGTAATATTTGCTGCCTTCCATATTGAGGGAACAAATCCTTCACGAACTGATGAATTAAAAATAGAACACAAAGGTCGACACAACACTGAAGCGTTTTCCCGGAGAAGCCAAGAAGGAATTTCATCGGGACCAGCAGATGAATGAAGTTTAGATGATAATAGGGCCTTTTCAGTCTCCTCGACAGAGATGCAGAAATCATCTGGAATGTCATTTGTGGGAAGGGGGAGCCAGTTTAGATTGGGTAAGGAGGATCCTACAGCAACGAACTTGTCGTTGAGCAAATTTGCTAGATCGGCATCAGAGTAGGATTTACCTTGGAACATCATTGTAGATACATTCTTAGAAGACTGAAGACCGGCAATATTCTTCACCGCTGACCACCATTTACGAGAATCGGACTGTTGAACGCCCGCGATACTTTTATTGTAGTAATTTAGTCGTGCTTTTTTGCAAAGTGCATTGACTTTGTTTCGATAGAATCTGAACATCAGGTTATTGCCAGCCGCCCATGCTGTTTGCCGCTTGGAAATAAGAGATTTTATTTCGGAAGTAATCCAAGGCTTGTCACTAGAATCAATTTTGATTTGTTTCCAAGGCAAATGTTCGTTTATGATATTATCAACGATGGTGGAAAAATACTGGAACTGCTCGTCACAAGATTCCATATGGTGCAAAGGTAACCAATTAACTTTCGACAGATGATCGCTAACAATTCGACGATTGGTTGGGCGAGAGTCTCGTACTAAACGTGTAGACCTTGTGCCAACATAAGAGTTAGCTGGAAGAGGTTTAAGAACGATGGAATTATGATCGGAATGTCCAATTGGAGAAATTACCAGGGCAGAATTATAAAATTTGGAAATGTTGGTAAATATTTTATCTAAAATATTCTTTCCTCTAGTAGCGTCTTTGACTAACTGCTTGAGGTTAAAGGAACTGCATAACTGGCGATGTTTAAATTGGTTAAAATCTCCGGCAAAAATAATTCCTGCACCGGGATTGGTGGAAAGGACAGAATCGATTGATTCGGTAAGGTGTGAAAGAAGGGCTTTATCGTCACTTCCAGGTGGATGGTACACGATTCCCAATACAATTGAATTTAAACCACGAGGCAAGCGGTGAGGTTTTAAGAGAAACCAAAGCGACTCATATTCGTGACTTTCAATCTCTTTAAGATGAATGAACGGAAGCATGTCCTTTACAAAGACACAGACTCCACCTCCTCGTCTGCCGTCAGAACGATCATGCCTCAGTAACGAATAACCGCATAAATCTATTGCTGAATTAGGAACATTTGAAGAAAGCCACGTTTCGGTAACAACGACAATGTCGGATGTATAGGATTTTACTGTAGCAGACAGTTCGTCAATCTTGCTGATCAGCGATCTTGAATTAGAAACAAATAAATTCGGTAGAGAAGAGAGTAAGGGCGTTTTTTTGGTTTGGTGGCCACTAATATAAATTAAGTTATTTATACGGTTGAAACTTTTCCCTGGTACTGGAACCGATTGATGCTGTAGTGTTCTTAATTGACTAGGTTTTGCATTTATTTTTCTTTGAAAGTTTGATACGCGATGGGTTATTCTCACAGGAATTTTTTGAACAAGAAGTTCCACGGGAATCGAACTGTGATTTCCATGCGATTCTCTCTCATTTTCTTTAGAATTTACTTTGCCGTCAGCCGGCGAACAAGATTTAAATGCGCCAACCATTCCGCTCTTCGAACATGAGGCAAGGGCGGGGGACGCTCCGGAAAGCTCTGCCGAAAAGGACAGTTATTAGTATTGTCACACTCAGACATGCATTCGTCGCCGTCTAAGACAATAAATTCAGAGATATCAGCTGGTATTTGGCCAATGCACACATGCTGAGTAACTGTCCCAGTGCTAGTTGTACTATCATTCAATATATTTGATGGGTTTTCTAAAAAGGGTTCCTTCTTCTGAGTTATAAATGGCTTGGATATTTCGATAAGAGGCAAGTTTCCAAGCGATTTCAGCGACAATGGCTCACAGTAAGGGGGAGAATTAAGATTGCGTCGAGAGTAACTTCGCGAGACCTTAGCTTTACTGATTTTGTCGTTATTCATATTATGCTCCGTTAACTTCACTTTGTTAATTTCACATTTGTTGTCGAGTTTATTGTCGGTTCTATTACAACTTGCTGGTTGGACAATTAAACATGAATTATCAAGGGGCTTTCAACGCTGACAGTTTCGGGAATAAATGGTTCACCTGGTAAACAAATTCCTAGGTTTGAATTTGCAGTTTCTATCGATTTTACAGTGTCTATGATGCAGTTATAAGTATTAATTTGTTCAGGTTGGTTTGACAGGCTTTGTTCGGCACTCAATACACCACAGTGTCTATGATGCAGTTATAAGTATTAATTTGTTCAGGTTGGTTTGACAGGCTTTGTTCGGCACTCAATACACCATTGAATTTTTCTGAATTAATTTGCATTAGCGATTGTCTTAGAGATTTATTTATGACATCGCTTGATTTAAGTTTGTTTTCGAGACAGGTAATGGTATTTTTTAATTCGTTTATCTCCCTATTCCTTCCTCGAACCAAAATAGATATATCAGCCTCCAACTGACTACATTTCTCCTTTTCCTTAAGAAGCTCGTGTTTAAGTTCACTTATTTGTTCACTATCACTATCCCGTGAATTGTAAGCTGCAAGAAACTTAGTTTCTATGTCCCTGCACATGATTGCTATATCGAGCTTAACTCCCTCCAAATCAGCAGCTAAAATTCTACACTGACAGCCAAGTTTGAAATCATGCTCTATACTGACCTTTTGATGATTATCAGTTTGTTCAAAGTCCTTAATACAGTGATTAGACATCTGTTCGGGTTCATCAACAGCTGGGTTTATAGTTGCAATCGAACTATGTATGGCCGACACACATACATTGTTTGATAAACCGTCGTCTTCAGAGATTGCCTCTGCACACACATTTATTAACGCGTCAACCAAACCCGAGCTTTCCTCACCGTGAAATACGAGGGTATTTAGTTTCTTGGGGTACCAAGTTATTGATATATCTAGATTATAGCACGTAAACTTTTTCGAACAACCGCCTGGCGAAGACCATTTGCCATCCAATTTAAGATCGCATTCGACAAATTTCTGCAATATATCAAAAGTTCCAATCCATTTAATTCGTTTACTATCATAACTTAAGTTGGAAGAAGTTATATGATTACAAATTTCTTTAGCGTTCCATATTTTCGGGATATTTTGATGGAATTTTGTAGAGCTCACAAAATTAGAACTGTCCGCCATGATGATTTGCTGTATCTACGACTATTAGATTCGGCGCATGAAAAGTTCGCCGTCTAAACCGGGCCTTAGATTTTGATTAGCAATTAATCACGAACGTGTCATTTTAAAAATGAGCTCAGGGCTGGTTTACAAGACGTTTATGATAATTATGCATACGCAGGTATTTTATTGAAGTTCAATTCATCAACTTAAGTCCTAAAGAGTACAGGGAGTTAATTTTCAATAGTTTTAGACCCAATTCTCAACGGTGGAAATATGCACTTTCGGTGGAAATATGCACTTTGACATTATATGGTTCTTACAACTATTCAAGTCTTCATTATATGGAACGATTTCATTAGACTGCACACATTTCAAAACGGAAAGCGGTCGCAAAATGTCGATCGCCCCACAAGTTGCGAAATGCAAATCTACCTTAAATACCGGGTGTCCCCCCAAAAAACTGGACACTATTTGATTTCATGTAACGTAAAAGCTATAAAAGCGATAATGCATTCAGAAATGACCAACTTCGATTTTGATACTATATAGCACTTGAATTTACATGCAATAATCCAATATTGACTGCGCTATTGATGTTTGAACGTTGAACTACTGTTTTTGAAAATGCAAAAAATTAGCATAAAACAACACTTATAATTATAATTACTGATGTAGTTACAATTGTTAATTTTTATGTACAAGTTGCTCTAACTTCGAACAGCTAACAGTTGACTTCAAATTACGATTTGAAGTTTGCCGTTAGCGGTTAGCAGTTTGCCGTAAACGTCAATCTTAAAGTCCCTAATATATATAATACGTCGGCTGAAATAAAACGTATTGTAACTCGTTTACATCTTTCAAACGTTGGGGCTTAACTCGAAGAACAAAATGTTTGACTTTGTTCGAGTTAAGCCCCTATTTTCTAGAGGGCTTAACTCGAAGTACCTAACTCCAGTTATGTACTTCGAGTTAAGTTTTCAACGGAAATGGGTGTGACATGGGCGTGTCATGGGCGTGGTCGGGGCTTAACTCAAAAGGGCGTGGTCGAGGCTTAACTCGAAGGGCTTAACTCGAGGGGCTTAACTCGAAGATTTGCTACCCCTAAATCAATACCTGAATACTACCTGTCTGACAAGAAACTAAAAGTGGTGAACGAATTTAAAGATCTAGGCGTAATTGTATCTAGTGATCTATCATGGAGTAATCAGGTTGCCTCGACAGTTAAGAAAGCGAACCGCATTGTTGGTTTAATTAAACGGACTATCGGTTTTTCAAGTACGAGCATTTTTTCCACATTATATAAATCCTTGGTGAGACCTGTCTTGGAATACGCAGCGCCAGTTTGGTCGCCATATCTGGTTAAAGACGTGAAAGCCCTAGAACGTGTTCAAAGAAGAGCATCGAGAATTGCTCTGAAACAGAAACGAGGCGAAATGCCACACAACGAACGTTGTAAATTGCTAAAATGGGACACACTAGAAAAACGTAGAAAGTTTCTTTCCCTAGTAGAGTGCTACAAGATAGTATTTGAACTTAATGGCGGCATAATATTCAGCGAAGTTTTAGAATATAGACACTCCAAGAGGACAAGATCTAACCACCAATACACCTTATATCCTAAACTACCCAAAATTAATTGTTACAAATACTCACTATTTGTAAGGATTATCAGTGACTGGAACAGTTTACCATGCTCGGTTGTAGAAGTAAATAACATTAGAGAATTTAAAAGAGAACTGAAGTCGAACATGGACTTGTACTTGTAATTTAACATTTAGGTATTTTAATTTAGTAATAGGTAAAGGTGCTCTTTATATAGGGTTAACCTCCAGATCTCCTGCAAGGGCCTCAATATTATTGTAGGTACTTTGAATAAATTATTGATTGATTGATTGATTGATGAATTAACAGCTACATTTTTCTTAAATCTCGCCTCAAGAGTTTCACGAAGAATGCCGTCTTCGTCTGTTTGGTCTTCCTCGTAGTCGCTATCTGCGACTGGCTCAAATTGGTACGGCTGAACAACAGACGATTGCTCAGCGATGTCCTCATTATCTGTTGACCCTTCTGTCTCTGTCTGTTTCTGTCTGTCTGTGAGTCAAAGCTTTCGTTATCGGACATTTTTATAGCGAAATATAAAGGCAACTGTCTGATGTTTTGTGTTATTTTGTTGTTTTCGTATACTGAAACACTTCGGCGTGTCATACTGCATACGTCACAAGGCCCGGAACTCTAGGTTCCAGTCTTTCGCCAGTAGATAGTCGAAAAAGCGAACTTTGTATTTTTATGATCGGAAAAGACCAAATTTTCAGAAAATACAAAAAACCCGATATCGAAATTTTCATTTCATATACACTTTAAAAGCTTGCATAGGTCATCCCGATGCTATACAGGGTGTATAAAAAAAAGTGCACAGATTTGAAATTGCTCTTAAATTCGCAAAACAGCTATTAGTATCCAGTTTTTGATGTATATATAGCTTCTTTGGGTACTTATAATGTAGAAAAATGGAAAAAATTTCTCGAACTCAAATTTTGTAAACTAGGGGGTGTGTCTTTTCCACTAACAAACTAAAAATGGCTTGCGCACGAAATTTAAAAGCTTTAATCATATTTTGAGTTGATAGATGGAACATTTGTTGGGTTTTTAATTACTGTACAAAATTTCAGACAATTTGCTTTAGTTTAACTATTCATTTTTCTCTAAAAAATTAGCCTTTCGCATGCTTAATTAATGCCTTTACCTAATTTGCATATTGCTGACATATGCAAATTAGGCAAAGGCGTTGATTAGCATGCAACCATTAGCATGCAACCATTTGATTTTTTAAGAAAAAATGTAAGTTTGCGTGAATGATTAAAGGGCGTAAACTGAAGCAAATTGTCTGGAATTTTGTACAGTAATTAAACACCCAACATACTTTCCATCTGTTAACTTAAAATATGATTAAAGCTTTTAAATTTCGTGCGCAAGCCATTTTTAGTTTTTTTGGAAAAGACACACACCCCTGGTTCACAAAATTTGAGTTCGAGAAATTTTTTAATTTTATAAGTACCCAAAGAAGCTATATACATAAAAAACTGGATACTAATAGCTGTTTTGCGAATTTAAGAGCAAATTTCAAATCTGTGCAGTTTTTTTATACACCCTGTATATGCATGGCTATCGCTTCATCACTGACAGTATTATAATTATGCATACAGAAGCAAGAAATTATAAGCATCGAAGGTGTTCATATAAAACCGCCCATGCCAAGAAAGTAGAATTAATTTCCCTTTTAAAAATTATTTGTCATTCATTTGAGAGGAGGGCCAGCCCTACTAGGCGAGATCTCGCTGTTGACAAGGTGAGATCTCGCCTACTAGTAGGGCTGGAAATTTCCATATAAACGCAGTATATATAGGGAAGGCTGTCGAATTGATTTCAAACTAAACTAAGCTTTTTTCGCTTTAAATATGTAGTTCAAATGTCTGTTGGCTTTCATTGCAAAATTTAGTTGGCAAACTATGATTTTGGACGCCATAATACAAATAATGAATTGCACGGAAGCTGATTAAGTGCTACTTGCGAAAGGAAGCTAGCCCTTGGAGGAGGGCTGATTTTTCTCATGTAAAGACGCGGTGAGAATCAGCCCTATTACTATATATCTCATTATTTATACAATTTCCGTTTCAGGTGTATTTTGATTGAGTACGTTACCTAAAGCAAACCTCTAAAAATGACAACGGATACTTTGACAAACTCTCTGGGCAAACCAGGCAAATTTCAAGTCTTACTCTGGTTATATCTCTCTGCCATCTGGATTTATACAAGCTGGAACTACCTCGCACTTGCATTTATAGGAGCGAAAACTAAACATCATTGCACAGTGGCAAACAGCACAGATGTCAGCCGAATTGTACCAATGGAAACAAAGAATGGGAAGTCGGAATGGGATGGATGTCACCTGTTTGATGGTTATAATACTTCCAAAAAAATACCATGCCCAAATGGATGGACTTATGACCTCCCTGAGGGAGAATCGACTATAATATCCGAGGTAAAAACTTCTCAAACCTTTTTCCGGTAGTTTAGTCTTGTTCAGTTTGGCCTCCATGGTTGCAGACTAGCGACACTTATGTAACTCCATAGTTTAACTCCAAATTCAAAATATGTTCTTCTCATACATCATTAGATATTCATACCGGGTGGCCCAAAAAAAAGTACTCCTGTTTGATTCGTAATAACTTCTAAACAAGTAAAGTTTTTAAAGAGAAATAACTTGCATTAAATAGAGGAAGGACTAACTTAGATTTTGATATATTACAGTTGTATTTAACTTAAAAATTCACGGAGATATTAATGTTAAAAATGGGGAGCATATTTTGGAATGTGTCTAAAATTAGCGAAAATCGGCATATCAAATATTAACTCCAGCGTTTGTTTGCTTAATGACATATTAGGCTAACTTGTATTTCAGCGAATTATCGTTAAGGTTTGTAAGGGATATGGCGTAGATTTAGACATCTCACATGTAAGTCTTAGCTCATTGTTTCCTGAAATATGAACGTTCGAAATTATGCAAGTATTTAATATTAGGTCTTTGCAAACTTAAATGTACATGAAAGACTGACCATGGAAGGCAGGCGCTTAAATTTTTCGTATTCTTAAATAGCCTAATTTTTTTATGTTTTTAATGGGTTCAAACAGACTGAGTAGATTATTTCTCGGTTAGAGCAGGATGAATATTCTTTATTGGAGGAAATAATATTGCTTTTTGCAAATACACATCACCGTATCAACGCTACTATTTTGTTACGTTTTGTTCCAAAAATGTTGCATGTCTCTGGGGAGTTGCTTAATTGTTATGTCTTATGGAGTTGTATGGTTTGATTGTGTTTCATATAATTCTCAGTTTACTCCATGAACTTGCCAAGATTAAGAAACGGCAAAAGAGTTTGGGTGTTCTTAACAAGATTTCAGAACGTTGCAGAAGTTAGAAGAGCTTCACAATTCCGTTGTGACAGCATGCCCTAATTCAGAACTACGAACGATCCAATGACGATCCTTCGCGATGCAGTGGTCTCATGAAATAAGGAAACGTATTCGTGCTAGGAACACACGCGAATTTCGGACGAATGAATCTTGCTTGTATTTTGTGGATATAATAATACTTTGTTTCATAATAAACAATTTGTCAAGTGTCATTTATTTACTGGTAATAGTGCATGTTTCAGTCGGGCAAATCTTGATTAATATTTGATACGCCGATTTTTGCATATTTCAGACACATCCAGATATATCCTCCCGAATTTAAAGATTAATATCTCCGTGAATTTTTAAGTGAAATACAACTGTAATATATCAAAGTCTAAGTTAGTCCTTCCTCTATTTGATGCAAGTTATTTCTCTTTAAAAGCTATACTTGTTTAGATGTTATTACGAATCAAACAGGAGTACTTTACTTTTTTTTGGGCCACCCGGTAGCATTTCGGCCAATGACATGGTTTAATTTACATCACGTGTATCTATCTGGATACCCCGTCTAGACCAGGACTTTAATTACTTCAAGTGGGAAGGGCTTTGAACAATAGGGAAATTGAGGCGTAAACAAAAGATAATGCAAATATATTTAATTGCTATGTTTAGAATTATTTCTAAATACAGTAAGTTGTATTTAGAAATTTATTCTAACTACACTTTACGGCCAACACTTTTCCTAAACGTTTGAAACTACATAAATATAGGAAAACCAACTTTTTTACCAACTATCATAATAACCAGCGCTTTAAACACTATAATACAGCAACTTACCAGTAATGTTTACCGTCTATAAAATATATATTCACTTCGGCTCTTTCATTTTCCACCAGATAGCGCGTTATCGCACACACAATCTGATATATCGTTTTTCGGATCCCCAACACTTGTCAGCCGAGCGACAATACTGTGCACAATGCTGTGCTCAACACTTTCTGGTTCTCGAAACCGCTTTTTCTTATATTATAAGAAGATACCATGCTCTTTTGCCAACAAAATTCATCTATTCACGACGAAAGCGAACTGAATGCTTCGTTGCACTTCATGCAAACTTTCACGCGAATGTAATCGTTAATGCCCACGCTCACTTTTTTGAATATCTAATAATTTCATGCCTCATTGCTATGAAAGTCTAATGATGTGTGAGAAGCAATTTCAAATCCTCGTTAGTGTTTTAAACTTGGCTTCCAAATCCCCAGTGCCATGAACAATGGCTCGGCTGCGCCTCGCCATTGTTCATGGCACTTGTATTTAGAAACCACGTCTAAAACACTAACTCGGATTTGAAATATTACGTAGAATAGAAAAAAGTTACTGTGCATGCTTTAGAATTATCTACATGCATGAGTGAACAACTCTTACACATAATTCTAATGCTTAGTTACCTTTTTCTATTCTATATGCTTCTATAAACTAGAACAATAGTAACTATAGGCATGTGTGTTATCTAAAGTTGTGAAATGGGTGGCAACGTTGTAAACAACGTTAGCCAAATTTGTCTATTAATTAATCAAACTGTAATATTTGTATGTTTGACTTTCACTCTTCTCACCGAATTTCACTCTGTCTTGACTCGAATTTTGCGTTAAGACAATACATGTAGGCCCGGTTTAGACGCCGTGCTTTTCATGAGCCGAACTTAATTCATATTTTACTCGAGTAAAATAGGCGTACTTCCAATTTTGATTTAGACAGGCGTGCTTTTCATGAGCCGTACTTAATAATTTGCGCTGCTTCACTTCGAAACCTGGGGCGAGTGACATTTCATAATAAGAAAAAAGGGTTTATCACGTACAATTTTGGCATTTCTGAGCGTCTACAGGTTTGCGGTTATTAAAAATTTCAACTGCTTTTTGAAAAGCCTCATTACTACAAACATAGCATAATGCCTGGATATAATGTGTGGGAAAACGAAACCTATAGGCTTTGGGCGAGTTTTTCCACGTTATTCGAGTTTTCCCAAACTACAACAAGTGTTTCTATAACTGTATGGGTCACACATAATAAATGTTTTATATTTATTTCATAATATAACTAAAAAAAGATTTGTAGTAGACTCGATATATTTACAAATTCTCATTGCGTAATAATGCCGACCTTTGCTCCATCAATTTACTGCAAGAAACCCTTTTTGCCTTTATCAGCAAATATCGCTATAACTAGCCTAATTTCGCAACTTTTATGCAAAGAATCTAACGAAAGGTGTATCCTTTGCTACAAATTGACGTATATAAAGAAAAGGGAAATTCTACCGCGATATTTACCGATAAAGCGGTATGAAATCACTACAGAAAAAATAGAACAAATTACAGAAATACAAAACAAGCTGCGGAAGTGGGAAGGTTTTTGTATTTTGACTGTAACAGTGTCTTAATTTGCATTAAAATTGTTTTGTTTACGATTGTAAGTTTAGGCGGGAAATTTCCCGTGTAGAAACACGCTTCTCGACCAATCAACGCACGCGTACTATAAATGTTCTATTTTATCATAATTTATGCATTTGGTACGGCTCATGTAAAGCACGGCAGTATAAATCAACATGTGCTTCAGCCGTGTAGCACGCCTGAACCAGGCGAACTTATTAATTTAGCCGTGCTTAATATTAAGTGCAGTGCTTAATTGATTTAGACGCCGTGCTTCTCATGTGCTTAATTCATTGTATTAAGTTCGGCTCATGAAAAGCACGGCGTCTAAACCGGCCCTTAATAAGTTTGCATATTTCAAAGGCCAACAACTAGAAGTGGGGTCCACCGGGGCATCGCCCGATGTGCTAATCCAGCCCGGTGTGGAGGCTGTGAAGCTAGCTATCTGAACGTCGGATTACTGGTTAGCAATTCCAAAGGCCCTGACTACCTCCACATAAATAAAATCTACAGGCATGCTGGAGCCCCACGTTTGAGAATGGCGCCTAATCTTTAAATAGCATTACTCCATTTTTCTTCCATTTAGTGGGATCTTGTCTGTGATAATGCTTACAGAGCCCACCTATCCACAACCATGTATTTTGTTGGAGTAACGTTTGGGAGTCTGGTGTTCGGATCATTATCAGATAAATTTGGAAGACAACTTGTGTTTCGGTTTGCAATATTTTCTCCGTTTGTTCTTGGCTTGTTTTTGTTCTTTGTAAAGAACTATATCGCCTTTGTTGTCTTTCGTTTCTTTCTTGGAGTCGTTCTTCAGGTTAGTTGAAGTTCTTAGCCTATATGGACTTGATTCATATGCAAGAGATGGATCATCTCTGGCATATAAATCAAACTAGCACTTAACAAATATAAAACATTTCCTGTGTTGATATACAGTTATATCAACACAAGTAGATTTGGGAAAACGAGAAATTGTGTGGAAACACGACTCCCGGAGGGCTGAGTGTTTTCATACAATTTCGAGTTTTCCCAATTTCCACGAGTGTTGATAAAATCTAAATTATAATGTGGTACATTATAGACTATTTTTAATCTACGTTTATGAACATTAATTTAAAACTATGTCACATCTTAACTGCGTTACATCTTTAATAATTCTTAGAAAATTACAGTAAGTTATCCTATTGACACTTAGATTTACTATTGGAATCAGTAGTATTCTCACGATCAGAAATTGTGGCCAGAAATTGAGAGCTAAGATTCTCTACTGTTATAGCTCTAAATGTTATTTACTCGATTTATTTCCCTTAATTCCAGGGCCTACAAATTGTCTCCTTTACCATGCTGGTAGAGATATTTGCCACTCGGTACAGAACATTTACCTCTATTGGTCTGGAATACCTTTGGGCTATTGGAATCATGACATTTTCACTGCTCTCGTACTTGATCAAAGATTGGCATTACATTCAGTTGATGGCCACGGCAGCTTTCCTGTTTCAAATTGTGCTTGTCTGGTAGGTTAGCGTGTGCAATTCAGTCGTAAATTGGTGGTTTCAATAGAGAGGTTCAGATTTGACTTCCACTAACCCTCACAGGTTTAATGCGGATTTGATTGGTTAATTGCGTAGATTCAACGCATCTGATTGGTTAATGGTATAGCAGTAGTGGAAGTCAAAATCTGAACCTCTCTAATAAGCGTTACGGTATACAGCAGATATAAGGGTAAACTTCAGAAACGTTCATATTTGTAAGTCAAAGTACATGACGGATACAAGACTACTACTACAAATAATAGAAAGAATGAACATCATCTTATCACTCTGACAACTGCTGGTTGACCACCAAAGTATCTTCGTCTTGTTCGGCATTATACCATCCCTCAAGTAAGGAACGACGATGCGACCTTAGATCACCCTGCATGAAGACACTAGACTTCTAAGCCTGGAGTATCGAAACGTTGGGTTGAGGACATGATTTATTCAGGGTAACATTTTTTTTACTGAAACCTTAAATTTCAATTACACATTTCCTATAGGTTCTTGCCTGAATCCATTCGTTGGCTTCTGATCAATAACCGTTTTGACCAGGCAGAGAAAGTTGCTAAAAACATCAGTTCTTTCAACAAGATTCCTTTCCCGCAAGAGATATTTAATAAAACAGTTAATGAGATTGGAGATTCTCAAAAGACGGCAAACAAGTCTGATATCAAGAGTTATACAATTGCTGATATTTTCAGATCAAGTGTGTTGAGAAAACGATCTTTGATCATGATGGTGGTTTGGTAAGTATGCCCTAATATTTGCAGAAAGTCTAGATTGGTTAGGTAGATCAGATTAATGTTTATCATATAGTTAGAGAATCACACTCACTGTCCTGGCATCTCCTCAACGGAGGTCAGATTTCTTTGTCGATCCATACTGTAACTGAATCTTTCCCGATGTTCCCTCTTTAAAAAATCTGCCACGCGGTCGTTTACCATTTTCCTTCAGTTGCTTTTCCATTGAGCGATAGATGGTGGTTTTCTACTGGCATGGTCCTTACTGAACCGCTACGGTAAACAGTTTAGAACCGATACGGTCCAAGAGCTATCCAATATAAATATAATGACAATTGTACGTCTAGATCTACTTTACATAACAATTTCGTAATCTTTCAGGTTTTCGACATCTCTGGGTTACGACGGATTGACATTGAATATCTCAAGTAAACCTCTTCATCAGTGGAGCACTGGAGATTATCATCATTACTATAACCATGTTTGTCGTAAATAGGTGCGTTGTGTGGTATATTGAAGACCTATTCGCGTAGCAAAATGAAAAGTGCGTCGCAACGGTCTACTTGTACTACGGAAGTATTAACGAATCAACATTCACTAAATTTTGAATTTTTCATACGTTGCGGTAAGGTACGCTTGGAGTGGAAAACGGCCTTTATAATGGTGTACACATCCTACAAGACGACGAAAAAGATGGGTTCTACTAAGTCTCCACCATTGAAGTTTTTTTCTTTCACTACAGATATACAAATGAGCAATAATTAGAGAGAGAAAAGAACGAGCTTTAATTTAAAACAATACTAAAATCACTTTATACGGATTATTATTTTGAAATTATCAAGAATAACAGGCGGATTCTGTTTCTTGATACACCCTATATAGCTTGCTATTGAAAGTAATAGTTAAATATTTTCTTTTTCTAGGTTTGGACGACGTAGGCCATTATTTGTTTATTGTCTTGTCGGTGGAACAGTTCTTATTATAGCAGGAGCATTGCCAAAGTCGAACCGTAAGAGGCTTTCTTCACTTGACACATTACATTTTATTTCTTCTTTAAGCGAGTTCGCAATCTTGTTTTCTATCCTTTTCTGTCCTTTGTTATTTCCACGATCAATTTCTTGATATTTTGATCTTGATATTTAGATTCTGTCCTTTGTTATACTCTCACGTGCAATTGACCAATCACATGCAAGTCTTTTTAAAATAGGGTCACGTGCCTGTCCGATATTTAAGAAATGGAAAAACATTTTCCGTGTTTCTATACAAGCTAAGAGCGAGAAAGAGAGGAATCCAGTCATTTGCGAATCCAAATAAAACTAATACCTGCATGTACCCGTTGTTCTTATACCACTGCAATTATTCATCATTTTTATATACCTTATAGAAGATGTCCAAACCCTTGTGACAGTCTTGGTGATAGGAGGAAGAATGTTCATGACTGGAAGTTTTGGAACTATTTACATCTATACTTCTGAACTTTATCCGACTGTGATACGGTATGTATTAAACGACAATGGCGACAAAAGATTTTATTGTCTAAGTTGAAAGAACTTTAAAATTATCTATAATATCTTGTCACAGATTTTTCATATCTGGCTTGTCATCTTGGATTATTGAGGATATACATATTACGCCACAAGTGGGGTCACGATATCAAACCGAAACTCGTTTTTGGTTGCTATTTCAAATTTCGAATAGGAAAAAGCCATTTTAAACAACTTTTGATTGTTACTCAGTAACTTAGAAGTAATTTTATAAGGCTAGCCCCACTCAAAACGATAGTTAATGAGGTTACGAATTATCCAAGATGGCGGACAGCTCATTGCTTTCAGTCAAAATATTTGAATGATATGAAAAATCTGTACCACGATTTTATAGATAATCTTAAACGTTCCTTCAATTGAGACAATATTTTTTGCCATTGTCCTTTAAATAAATAATCACCCTAATTATCACTCTCGGTTTTAGATAGCAAGATTTGATCTATATTCTATACAATTATTTATTGTAGGAACGTAGGTCTTGGAGCCGGGGTATTCTGGGCAAGAATTGGCGGCATTGCAGCACCACAGATTTTGTTACTGGTATGTAACTAAGTTTGGAGCGGCATGAATGTAAATTAAGTGTCCCATAGCTACAGAAATGGTCAATCTTTACTTGCTTCTTTTTTCCATTCACTCCATTCATTCGTTCATTCATTCACATCAATTCGATCCAAATGAATACTATTGTTCTTGATAACATCTTGACATGCATTATTATAGGTGGCACAATAGTGCGTCGGCTCATACTATACATAGCCATATAGGGAGCTAGGTGTATAAGATATTTCATACAATATTTTATAAGAATATTGAACCAGATTAAGCTAGATATGCAAACTATAAGAAACAACAATCATCACAACAAGAATATGTCCCGTAAATTACTTTTAAAGTTACAATTTAACCATGCATCACCATATCTACACTATAGTGGTAATTTATGATTTTTTGTGCTTCAATTTTGCAAATAATTACCACTTAAATATTCTGAGAATCCTTTTTTAAACTCTTAATACAGTGCAGAGCACGTACATCGTCTGTAATCCATAATGATAGACAACAACGGCCTATAAATAAGCGTTTTGTTATATTCTTACATACCCTGTAGTTGCATATGTTGCTTCACAAAACACAACTTTAAGTACCACAAATATGATTTTTGGTTCGGGAGATATTTGGGTCATTCTGAGAAGAAATGTAATATATCTTTATAGTGAGAAAGCTCACCTTGATCAACCTTTTCACTGCAGATGATACCGGATATGACGTCATTAGACGAACAATAATTGGTTATTTGCTGTTAAAATGAATTTAATGAGTTCATAACCGGCACCTTAGACAATGAAAACGCTGATTTAGATGAGGATTTTTGCTAATAAACGTATACTATATTTCTCAGAATGACCCAATTACTATCATATATACTGTATATAACCATCATATTGGGGTTATACTATAGTGGTAATTTAAAAATCTTTTTCTAGGGAATCTACACCTCTCAGGCGGTGATTTTATTTTTATTTGGTGGACTGCTTCTGCTGTCCGGTGCACTTGCTCTATTATTACCAGAAACTTTAAATCTGAAACTTCCTGAAACACTGGAGGATGCAAAAAAAATTAAATTTATGTCATTCCAAGGACACGGGAATTCGGGCCTTCTAGCACTTGAACCTGTCTTATGAACATAAACTAGTGATAGCTGCTATAGACAGTTCAATAGGCAATTCCAGCTTTTAGTTTATACCTGCAGAAGATGATGGGAAGTAAGGTATCATATTGCTGATTATGCTGAAAAATTTCAATAAAAACTACCAAAACAACCGAAATATTTCAATATTTACAAGTATAAGCTATCACTCCATGTTTACATGGCCACCATTTTTACTTTTTCAGCATAATCAGCAATGTGATAAGTAATTAAATAATAATTCGTATTTTGTAAACTTTACGTAATTCAGCCTTTGGCTGCAATGTAAATGTTTTCTTAAACTAACTATATCTACTTCCCATCGTCCCCTGCACGCATAAACTAAAAGCTGGAATTGCCTATTATACCAGGAGGATGTTGTAATAAAATTTACCTTGAATTCAATTTTCGTTTCAAACCTTTCGCATAACATGCATAGTGGCAGTTTTCAGAGTAAATGGGTTTTTCTAAAGGGAATTTTCCAACGAAAATTTATATAAATTTTTAGAACTAACCAGGAGCATTTCTGAAAATGTATATAAATTTTCGTTGAAAAATTCCATCTACAGGGTGTATCAAAAAAAACTGAACAGATTTAAAATTGCTCTCAATTTCGCAAAACAGCTATTTGTATCCGGTTTTTTATATATATAGCCTCTTTGGGTACTTATAATGTAGAATAATGAGAAAAATTTCTCGAACTCAAATTTTGTGAACCAGGGGGGTGTGTCTTTACCAACAAACTAAAAATGGCTCGCGCACAAAATTTAAAAGCTGCAATCATATTTTGAGTTAACAGATGGAAAATTTGTCGGGTTTTTAATTACTGTACAAAATTTCAGACAATTTGGTTTAGTTTAAGCCCCTTAACTATTCACGCAAAATTACAATTTTCCCGAAAAATCAGCTATTTGCATGCTTAATTAATGCATTTGCCTAATTTGCATATGTCAGCAATATGCAAATTAGGTAAAGGCATTAATTAAGCATGCGAAAGGCTGACTTTTTAGAACAAAATGAATAGTT